TCTACGAAATTGCAAATAATGGAAAAAATTTATTTTCTTGAATTTATTGGAGTAACTTATATAGGGCAAAAATCACGTGCTCACAGCAGTAATGTGCTTATTCTGCATGCCCTCCTAAAACAAAAAAAAAAATATGTTTAACAAAATTAATTCAAATGCCACATCATCTGACTTTTCAGCGTCCGTGTGTCATGTCTTGTCTTTCAAATTCTTTCATCCCCTCTGCACGGTAACACTTTCCCACAAACCTATCGCCGTTCTTCAGAACTATTCAGAACCTGTTTGGCTCTCCACTCATCATCAGCCCTTCTTCCAATAAAACCTTCTTTCTCTCTCAAGGCAAGTCATGAACCTTCATCTACTCTTAATTCTCTCAAGCATAACAAAGTTCATCTAGCATTGAAGTCACTGGTGTGTCAAGAACAAGAAGACAACTCCACTAAGGATCAGTTTCTTAATGAGTTCATGTACATCCATAGTTGAGTTGTAATCTTGTTGTTTTGCTCTTCATTGTATTTCCTAGTTTGCTTTCTTAGAAGCGTTGTCTTAGGAACAAACCAAAATTCGTAAACCTCTGAGTTTATGTTGTGACTAGGAATAGTCATAAGTTTAAAGCCTTTGTAACTAGGATAGTTATAGAGTGGCTTGTGGTGGTTGCATCACAAGTTAGTTCAAAGTCTTTGTAATAGGTTTCTTTGCAAAGTGGCTTGTGGTGGTTGTATCACAAGTTAGTTTAAAGTCTTTGCAATAAGGTTTTTGCAAAGTGGCTTGTAATAGGTAGACTACAAGTTAGTTGAGTTAAAAGCCTACGAGAGTAGGTCGTGGTTTTTTGATCCCCTTGTGTGGGATTTTTCCACGTAGAAAATCTCATGCCTTCTTTACCTTCAGTCTTTACTGCATTCTAGGAATCATCTCATAGAGGACCAGGTACTCTATTGTTTGGTGGACTCACATACGTCAATAGGTTACAATTATTAATTTTTGACCATAGGAAGTTAGCTCTATTATTATTTATAGGTCTCCCTTCAAATTTTTTATTTGATCCCATAATGTCATTAAAATCTTCTCCTACTATCCACAGGCCTTTATATTGTTTATAAATGTTTTCTAGGTTTTCCCACATAATATTCCTATTATAATTATCTGTACTAGCATATATAGAAGAAAATAACCAAGTTTTACGAATAGGGAGTATCCTCTATTGTTGCATGTATTTCTTGGTTCCTACGAATGAAATTATGAACAGTAACCACTTCATGGTTCCACATTACCACCATGCCACATGATTGTCCTTCTGCTGGCACTTCTATCATCTCCGAGAAGCCAAAATCATGAAGCATTTGAGCATAATTTACCATCCCAGTCTCCAATAGTGCCACCACGCAAGGCCTATGAGTGTCTACCATCTCCCTAAAATTTCTCCTAATGGCCCCATTCTCCCTCACCCCCCAGAAAGACAGGGCTCTACTAGGATCACGGCTCTGTTGCCCACCGTTGGTTCCTGGGGTGGTCTGATGTCCATCGAGCACTTGTACAGTGCTAGTGGGAAGCTGAGCACATACCTCTTCTCTTGCATCTCCGTGAAGAGATACACTTTTACCCCGTCTAGGTTTGAGAATTCCAGAATCTGTTCCAAGCCTAGGTTGAGGGGTTCTCCTATTTCCTCCGTGGCTGCTTCTTCGTGTTCTGGTTCCTGCACTGCCTGTGGGTGGGGTGGTGATGGTTGTTGTTACACTAGATTTGTTGTTTGTTCCTAATTTTGTTGTGTGTTTTCCCATGGCATGAAGATAAGGTTCAGTTAGGATAGCATTTCTGGTAGAAAGAAGGGCATGTCTAGGAGTATATTCTGGGGTTGTATAGGATTGAAGTGTGGTGGCATGTTCCACTGATTTCTCATTGCATGCACCTAGTGTGGGTTCAGTGAGGGTGCCAATGGGTGTAGGATATTGTTTAGCCATACCTGATTTAAGTAGTTGCTCATTTCAAGCCTCATCCCCTCGGTTATCAATTGTGCTAAATTGAGTGTTGTGGAGAATAGCTATCGTCTTCTGACCATTGATTTGGAGGTTGAACGAGATTGCATGTCCCATTAGGCCTATTTTCATCCATGAACGAGGTTGGTAATCCTGAGCATGTGGAGGTTGGGTATAAACAAATTGTGGAGTCTCCGTTGTGGGGGAAGGGAGGTAGGTTTTCCATATTTTGAGCTCTGTGTTGTCTCAGAATTTGGATGAGTCTGTGTCTTCTCCTTAGATTCGAAGGAATTCTTGGAATTTTGTATTGTTTGTTGTGTATTTAAAGAGCCACTGGCAGGCGCTGCATGGCTAGTTTTCGTTCTCCATAGCCAGCTCACTGCTATTTTCTAGTTTTTTTGTAGGATCTTTTGATTTATATTGCAAGATTTGAGTATCCATGCACTCACTCGTATTTGCATTGAACAATTTAACCGTGATACTTGAGCCACTGTGATTCTCCATTAAATTGTTGAAACTTTTTGGATTGCCCTTTGGAGCTTGCCTCTTACCTTTATTGAAAGAAACTGTTTTCCATTTCACCTCTGGATCTTCTGCTTTTGCAGTTGATTGTTCTTTGCCTGAGTATGAACTTTCCTTAATATCCTTTTGAATATAAGTACATTGGCCTATTGTATGTCCAAGTCTTCCACATTTCTTGCATAGAAAGTTTTCACCTTCAAAGTGAATATATTGCTTGTGACGACCAATGTAAATAAAAGGTTGCACTGAAAATTCTAATGGTAGTTCCACACAAAGCCTGACATAACGACCTCATACTGTGGTTGATGTGCATACATCTATTTTTAATAATCTCCCAATAGCATTCCCAATTTTTTCTAGGATTTTTCCATCGTAAAATTCCGTTGGTAGTTATGGTAGCCTAATCCATACCGCTAACAGTTAATTTTTCTTTTGTGGCTCCAAAGTTTGGCTTCCACTTTGTAATGGAAAGGTAATGGCCATTAATGAACCATGGCGTTCTCCATTTTTTCTTTTCTGTTGAACTTGATGATATAATAGTCTTCCCTTAGGTCAATAAATGAAAAATCCTCCATTGGACGCCATAGCTCTTGAATCTTCTTTTTTAAGTAATGATGTAGTATGCGTTTTCCAAAGAGCTTTACAATGATAGAAAATTTCTAGGGTCCATAAATTCTCTGCCTATCTTCCTCTGTTAGGGAGAGTGTTTTCATGCCTCGTGTGCTAGTGTTTATTAACTGCTCGAATGTTCCATCTTCTAAAGGAGTTTCTGTCAATCCATATGGGATTGGTTCAAATTGGATGCAAAGATCATTAGATCTGAGGATATTAGCATGTCTTTGAATGACGCTTTGTTCTCCACGCCACACTTTATGGATTTTGTTTGTTCAGGATGGGGTAATTTTGGTGGTATTGTGTTTGAGGGTTCGCAGGATTGGAGATTCATTTTAGAGAGAGAGTCAATTTCGGTAGTAACTTCACGATATCCCTTGATTTTAATGGAATATCTACTGTTCCTCGATTCTAATTTCTGTGACGATATTTGGCTGAATTTAAGAATATAAATATTTATGAAGCTATAATTATTTTATTAAATATATAATAAGAAGCTTAAAATTATATTAGTATTAAAAAAATTATAATATTCTTTTTATACAGGCTAACGGAAAAACTTATAACATATAAATTGCAATTGAAAAGGTAATATTAAATATTCTATGGAATGAAAGGTAAAAGAATGTAAAATTTTAATTTAATTGAGTTGTTCTCCCATTGGAATAACTTATTTTTTTTAAGATACGTAATAAAAAATAAAGATCTCACTCTATATTTAAATGATACTGAATTAGATCACGTCCTGCTTATTTTATTCCCCTCTTATTATATGGTAAAATCCTGTTCGTTTAATTAAGTATGAAACAAATAAGGTATGAAATTCAAGCAAATTAAGACAAATTGAGTTTCCTTTTTTCTTTCTTTTCTTTTGCACTAGAACATGATTACATCGATTTATTAATAATTATCTTTACATGAATTCGGATACGAATATAGTTCCTCATTTATTCAACGTAGGTTTTTGTAACACTTTTCTAATTATAGGTGTATTTTGAAGTATTCGACATATCAATAGTGAAAGTATATCTATTTGGCGTACTTCATTAGCTTTCCAAGCAACATATGATTATCAATAAAGGCTATTCGTATTTGATATAGACACCATATCAATAAAGATAAGAAGTATTTCCTAATCATTATAACTTTGTTCACCCCGCATTTATGCATTGTCATAAAATTTCTTTTTTACTGCACACCCATCTATCCCAATTCCTACCTCCTAGTAATCAATACCTATTCTCTACTTTCCCCTTTTGATTACTCGAAAACCTATTACTCGTCTCATATTAATAGTCATTGTTGTTAAAAATAATTCTCAAATTATTTGTCATTTTAGAAGTTCAAGACAAAATTGATTATTTTTTCTTTTTTTACCCTTAGTAATAATTGTTCTTGAAGATAGAGATAACACATAAATAGAATAAATATTCAATGAAGAGAGACTATATCTTAGACATAAACAAGGGCAGAATAGTTTAATCTCTTTCCTAATTAATATTTCTTAAGGGGCATAATCACGACACATTATCTTCTGACTCAACCCCTTCCCCCTTCCTCAAAAGGCTACCTCTTCCTCTTGCAACCCCAAAAATTCTGATTATACACTACTCTTATTTAATTATGACCAGCTATAAGGTCATGATCGGATAACTTTAATTTTTAGTAGCTTAACTTTGCATAGATTTGATTTACCCATCTACAATCCTCCAGCGTTATAATCCTTCTTAATCACCTCATAACAAAACAATACAAAATCTCATGTCCCTTAATTCACATTATTATGATTCCATCTACAATTATAGTACCTCTGTATCTCTTTGTAGTGTGTGTGTGTGTGTGTGTGAGTGTGAGAGAGAGAGAGAGAGAGAGAGAGAGAGAGAGAGAGAGAGAGAGAGAGCAAAGGAGCAAAATGACTACTTCCAATCCGTAAAGTGCATCTTTAGGTTTTGCATACAATGAGTTCAAAAGGTGCACCTCGTTTCTGGTTTCATCACTCCTTAACAGTATCATAGTAACTGTCTAACTGAGAAGTTCCAACGTCAGATAATCTTTTCAAGTGAAGAATATATACAAATCTTGTATCTAGCAGCTTCGACCACAAAGAAATGCAATAAGTACCTAGATCCACCCCGTTAAACCATATTTCTCAGCAACGTTGTACATTACTAGCTTGTCCCAAGCATGACCAAATAGGCGCTCTCCTCCAATGGAGAAGGTAAGAGCCCAAGTTGAGAGAAGAACAGCAAACACCGCGAAACCAATTGCTGACCTGACAACATCTACAAATCATAGATTTCAAAACCTCAATGTTAGAAAAAGTGCTTGCAGCCCAAGTTAAAACAATTAACTCATAACAGTCAACACCATGAAACCAATTGCTGACGTAACATCTATAAGTCAAACATTCCAACCTCAGCGATTGAGAATTGTAATACGCACAGTAGACAAGAGTGGAGATAGCTATACAAAAGAGTTATCGAAGTTCCTCAAGCACGTGATAAGCCTAGTCATATATATTTTTCTAACAATTGCATGACTTGTAAGAAAGTCCTAGATCATTATTAACTGTTAAAATTAGGACTTATACTGGAATTTCTGATTAAAAAATGCTCATTGGCCCAGCACCTGCCACTTAAGGTGAGCTTTGAAAACTGTGAGTGAGTGAGTGTGTGTGTGTGCGTGAGAGAGAGAGAGAGAGAGAGATGGAAAATGAGACGAGAAAGTGTTTTTTTTTTTAATTCAGAGTGAACAACGAAAAAGCTCATAGTATTTGGACAAGAAGACCACCAAAAACAACTGAAACATAGGAGTTATCACAGCAAGTGCTGGAGATCACAGTCAATTCCACTTGCACTGGCCCTCCACTATGAATAGGGAGCGGCCAAAAAACATCCCTTTTAAGGTTAATCCTTGATAGCGGCTAATTGCGACAACTGACAGCCATAAGGATCTCTTCTAAGTTGTTAAAGCACTGCATCTGAATTATATAGAGCATTGCTTTTGCACACAGGATGCTGGAACGTCCATTTACATTTATATGCATAAGCATATAGCTTGATTGATGAAGTGATATTTCTAGTGTTCAATGGAAGGGCCTAGAATCATGATTATATGGGCTCAGGGACATCTAAAGGTCATATCCAGTCAAGATAGGTGGTTAGCAAACATGGTGCTTCTTTTTCAGAGTTTTAGGATTTATTAGGATTTTCTTAGGTTTTTATTAAGTTTCCAAAGTCCTGTTAAAGAAAATTACTGTTGTCAAAATGCAAGGGTAACTACACATTACCTAAGTTGCTCGAACTCGAGTGCGGTTGTCCGATACGGGTGCGGATCTAGAGGTCGGATCCTTCATAATATAAATTTTAAGATTCGTGGGTGCTGATACGGGTGTAGGGATTCGTCTAAAAATAATTCAAATATCTAAAAATAGAGTTATAAAGTTATATCTAAATTATGAGACATTATGTGGAAAACTTGAAAAGTATTCTAAGAAGGAAAAAAATATTGATCAAGAGGAGAATCCGAGAAGGAGATAAAAGGAAAAGGAATGACATAAAAATTTCTATTCGTTTTCTTCAATTTCACCCTAACTTTTGTTTTGATTTCAAAAATCATTGTATCTGTCCCGAATTTCTCCGTTGATTTTGGTCAAAGTCCCAAATCGATTGACCAAATCCGGTACGGATCCCACACCCAGGTCGTGTCGACACGGGTGCGGCACTTAAAGTGAAGAGTCCGAGCAACTTAGCACATTACTGTCAAATTGGCCGTTTTTCATCCAAAAATTAGCCCCTTTATATAAATTCCTAGATATCAGCTATGGAGATATTAAGTGCATTCAACACCTATACAATCTATCATCCATCTAAAATCAAAGAAAGGCTACTAAATGCTTTTTAGACCAAGGGGAGTTAATAGTTGTTAAATACACATTTGCACAATAAAAGATCTTGAGTAACAAAACGGACATGACACACTTCTGGGAAAAAAATTAGACTTTAATCTTTCGAGTTATTCTGTCACCACAGTCCATTCCTTATTTGCATTTGCATTGGGATAGGTTGTTGACATGGCATATCCACCACTTCTAATGGTGGAAGAATCAAAAAGAATATTCCTATCCACCTCCCATACAGTTAACTCTTAGGAACAAAAGAAGCACTAAAAACTAGGACAGACAACAAGGTAACTGTCATCTTCTTTTCCTTTTGGTAAGAGTGGCCCTGAGCCAGCTTGCGAAAGTAACTGTCATCTCTTACCATCTCATTCCTCTAAACTACATGGATTTTAAACACCTACGGGTCGTTTGGTTGGTCTTCTAAAAGAATTAATCCATGTATAACCATGTATAAAATCCAGTATAATCCGTATAAAATCTTGCACAACTTATACAATGTTTGGTAAGATTTTACTCTTCCTTATACATAATACTCGCATGAAATATTGGGGAAATCTATGTATAATCTTATGCGGGGTAGAATGTGGAATAAGAATGCGTGTATTAATAATACAATTGATTAAACTAATAAATGAAAAAATTACCCCCAATGAAGGAATGAGAATTTCAGCTCGCCATTCTTTCACTTGTTTGGTTTATGAGAATTTCAGAAACAAAATTGGATATAGGAGGATCTTTTTATTTTCCCTTCCTTTATCTTTGTTTCTGCATTTTCCCGGCAAGGAATTAAGGAATGAGAATTTGACAGGTAATTCAAAGTGTTGTCAGATGAATCTCATAGGACAGACATTTGATATTGAAATTCATGGAAGCCAGTCAAGGGCTTCAATGGGATTCTTGATGCCTGGTGGAACACTCACCATAATGTGTATTAATTTTTTACAAAATAAATCAAACATTCAAAAATAATTAATCCTTGTATAGTAATCCCTTCATAGCTAATCCCTGCATAACTAATACCTTCATAATTGATCCCTGCATAACTAATACCCGCATCATTAATCCCTGTTTAACTAATAACCGCATAACTAATCCCTGCATAATTAATACCCTCATAACTAATCCATGCATAACTTATCTCCGAATCAAACCACCCCTTAGGATTCTCAATGTTGTTCTCAATAGTGTATGCCAAGCAACCAACATTTAAAGAACTGCAAAGAAGGCTCTCATGTTTCGCATAAAATAAATGCATCCCCTTTAGAAAATATTACTGATAATCACATAACTCTTTGAGGTACAACAAGCTGCTTCCCCATGTGTCCCACATACATAAAACCGTCTGTCAACTTATCACACACTTAATCCCAGAAATATTTATTTTGGTAAGTGTAATTTTTGTTCATAATACCAGCATAAAGAAATGCTGGGGAAGTTACAACCCAGATGATGCATTCATTACAAGTTGTGTAATGAGCTAATAAAGTCACTTAACCCCTAAAAAAATTATTTCTTAACTGCAATTCAATCCAAACTTTCTCAAACATGCTATATTTAACCAATCTATTTCATATTTCTCATAAAAGGAATTATACTTTTTAAAAATGCTTCGCATACACTGATAAGTTAAGCACCAGTTACCAATGTTTTGCTTCTCAAACGTGTGCTCTGAGAGCTGCCTAAACATCCTAGGGACCGATATGGTACAACTTATAACATCTGGAAAATGCTTCTTGATCCAACTAAATATAATTCGTTTACATCGAAAACATGACAATCTTAGGAGAATATTGGGGTATATAACATCTGGAAAATGTTCTATCATCCAACTAAACATAGTGCAGATACAGCTTTTAAAGTCTCTACATTTTAAACAAAGAAGTGAACTCTAAAACATGAATGGCATTTGGTTTGTGTTTCTTGAATATCAAGTGCTTAATGGTCATCACTCTTAACATTGACTTCATCGCCAAAGAAATTGATTTTAAGTTTCTAGAGCTTAACCAATTGTTACTCTTAACCCCTTTTCAGCAACCCCACCCCCTGCCCGCGAACGTCATAGGTTGTCAACTTCTCACCCTGATCAACAAGCTTCCTAAATCTATTGAGCTGTAGGCGTTTAACTCAAATTTGGACCATCTAAGCATCTTTGCCTCAATAATGCATTTCAACAAGTACCATATCAACACAACGCTATCACATATCCACCACACCAGACTATTGGACAACTAGCCAAACTGTTTCTCAATAGAAATTAACATTCGTCAGTTCATTTTCTCAGATAATACTAATCTGAGAACAAAGTGAATTGTCTTCACTATCTCAGCACTGATCCACACAACTATCAGTTCAAGCTTAGCAAGCGCAAAACAAAACAAAAAACAGGATGTGTTTCCTTTCAGTAACTTAATGCCGAAGCTGGCCAAATTAGTCCCTTTCCCTCCAAAAGCAAATAGTACACACAGCTCATAAGAACCTAGCTCATCGGAACCCAATACTTTAATGCAGAGCATAGATAAAAACGCGTCAAAATTTCAACGAATATTATATTTGAACACATAATCTTATTACTAGTCATCAAGTTTAAGTCATGGATTCGCCTATGAGTACACACTCATCAAAATAGTGTAAGCAAATAAGTTCTCTTTCTGTCCCAATTAATTTGGCAAATTTTAATTGCAAAGTCAAACAATGTTTCTCTAACTACATTGTTTCAAACATTTTTCAAATTCTTTTTACCTATGATTTTTTATCTACAGAACTTTTTAAGTATTTTTGGAATATGTAAATTTTGCTTGAACAACACCTAAGAAATCATGTCCCATTTCACAAAATTAGATGTGTTGGCCCTTATACTCGTAAGCCCTTTCATTCTTTTCGGAACTGAGCAAGTACAATTCACGAAGTAAAGCAGCTAGAAAAAGCATGTTAACGTCACTGTTACTCAAATGGGTTTCTGAAAAAGAGTTTAAGTTCTATGCACGGACGGACAGTGTAAAAAACATTTATAGAATGGAGATCACTTTAAATGGCAATGGCAGGCAACTATATTCACAAATGTTGATTGATAACCTAGAACAAATGACATCCATTATAACAAGTTAAATCACAGTGTAAAAAATCCATTACTGTCAATATATATCTTAACTCCTCCTAAAAAACCAAAATTACGCAGTGTCTCTCAATCACATAGAGTTCATAATCGAAAAATCAATTGGAACTTACAGCGACGGAGCTCGGGTTGATAATGGGGGAGTAAAACCCGAAATTGAAGAATCTACGCGCATAATCGACGGAGTCTTGCTCTGTTAAACCCAGTGGTCCGTCTACCGTCGGCCAGTCAACTCTTAGCGGTGCAGCAAAATTTGAAATTAAGACAGTGTAGTGTAAGAGTAGACTACACATCTGTATAATTTATTTATTTTTTTTGCATAATAAGCTTATATAATTTAATCCAATCCCGCCTTAAAATATCCACTATTAACTTCCATTTAACTTAAGTATTACCAATTAAGTACTCCTATCCATTATCGGATACGGCACAACAAAAATCGACTCTAAGAAAATTAGCACCTTGATGTTGGGCATATTTTTATATATTTTGATATTATTTACTCTATATTTTTGTTAGAAACTAAGCGTCCACTAGACTGTATAGAGAACCAGGTTCTCTATGAATTTTCACTGAAAATACTAATGAACCAAACTGTATAGCGATCTGGTCCTATATCAGTTCCCACAGTGCTAACTACTGAACCAATATGTAAATGAGACACAAGATAAGTTCCTACTGTATAGAGAACCAGATTCTCTATCAGCTCTCACTGTAAGCAACAGACTGTAAAACCAACCAGTATAGGGAATCAGGTTTTCTAATTGTTCCACAGTAGCTCGGCAGTCAGTAAAGAACACAGAGGATTTTTACGTGAAAAAATCCTAACTCAAGGGGACAAAAACCACGACATACACTTGTAGGCTTTCAACTTCACTAACTTGTAAACACCTATTACAAGCCACTTTGTAATGACTCTATTACAAAGGATTCAACTCAACTAACTTAGCCACTTTGTGACTCTCTAGTTACAAAGACTTTAACTAACTTGTGATACTCTCACCACAAGCCACTTTGTAATAACTCTATTACAAAGACTTCAATCACTCTAACTTGTAATAACACTATTACAAGTCACTTTGTAATAACTCTATTACAAAGGCTTTACAACTCGACTAACTCTAGCCAAGACACAAACTTAGAGGGTTTGTGATTTTGGTTTTTTTAAAACACAGCTTCTAAGAAAGCAAGATAGGAGTTACAATTGAAGAACAAATAACAAAGACTCAACAAACCTAAGGACTTAAGATATCTTGAATCTTGGATCCGGTCCTTGAGGTTGCAGTAGCTTTGTCCTTGAGAGAGGTTGTGGCAAGCACTTGAGAGAATATTTTTGTTTAAGATTTTACAAGTGTTGGAGAGGAATGTCTTGTGCCTTGCACCAAGTTTATACTACAAAAGACATCACCTTAGTGATGTCAAATCTTGGTTAGTACATGCCTCTTCTCAATGGGAAGTGACTGCTGCACTATCTGTTGTACTGTTGCGTGTACAGTTGCAGGCAGTCACTTTTTACAGTTGCTTTCCAGCTGTACAGTTGACTTATACTTCTGTATGTGGAACACCAAGGGATCAGGTCCCTAATCTGGTTCCTGTTAATCTAAAGGCACACTGCCCAGATTATCTTGAGTCGATTAACTTGAATGATTGTACCAGACATGCTTCAGGTCCTTTATCTGGTTCTCTCATGAAGTAAGTTGTTTTACCTTCCTTGATTGTATTTATACGTGTGTGACATCACTTACAATAATGTAAGCAAGGTAGGTAAAAAGCCTTCCATAAAAAGTTGACTGCTGCACTGTTCCTGTGCAGTAGCGTGTGCAAGCAGCAACTTTCCTGCTGGAGAGTTGACTTCATACAGTCTCCTCGGGAACTGGTAGGGACCTGTTTCCTCAGTTGTTCCTTCCACTCTGAAGAGTTGAGTTATATCCCACGCTGGATCCCAACCTGGAACTTTGTGATCTCAAGGTCTTGTAAATGTGCAACAAGTTCCTTATTTGGTTCTGGATGATAAGTTTGTTAGATCATCAAAATATAAAGTAAAGTACTTATGCCCAAGGTACTTGTAACCTATCAATTTTATTCTCTTTTTAATTGTATTTTATATTGTATATGCCCAACTTAGCTTGAGTATTGAGCTTTAGACTTGCTTGGGTGTTAATTGATAATGTATGTATATTGGACAGTGAAGATAAAATTTTGGAGCAAAAAGAATGAATTTCCAATTCGATATTTTGGAGAGAGTTGGGGAAGATTGCTTATAGGCTTGCATTGTCTCCTACCTTAGTAGGGGTACATCCGGTATTTTATGTTTTCATGCTTTGGAAGTAGCATGAAGACATGTCACATGTTATAGACTTCAGCATGATCCAGCTTTATGAGAATTTGACATATGGAGAGTTCAGGCAATTGAGGAGTCTATGTGGGATTCCGAGTCTGATATGCGGAGTAGATTCCCACACCTTTTTATCAGTCTACGTATTTTTCTATGTCAGTCCGAGGACGAATGTTTCTTTTAGAGGTGGAGAATATGACGACCCGATATGTCGTATTGAGTACTAGAATTTATTTGCTTCGAGACCTCTAATAGTTTCATGTATATGACTTGCGTGCGTGGTCCATGTCATTTTTCGAAAAGTTTTACGTGAAATTTCAAAGAAAATGTGATTCTTGACTTTAAAAATAACTAGAGTTGACCACGGTCAATGTTTGTGGTAAACAACCTCGAATTGGTGTTTTGACACTTCTGATAGGTTTGTATGATACTTTTGGACTTGTACGCACATTTGGTTAGGGTCCGGGGTGACCCGAGCGCGTTTCGGCGCATTATGTGTAAGATTGTTAAAAAATGAGTTTTTAAGTTGAAATTTTGAGTTATGATGATCGGTTCTTATTATTTGATATTATTTTGATTATTTGAGGTAGTGAGCAAGTTTATATTATGTTATTAAACTTGTGTGCATGTTCGGATTGGAGCTCAGGGGACTCGGGTGAGTTTCAGATTGATTTCGAACCATATTTGGACTTGTTGAGTTGCTGGTGGGAGGAACTGTGCGCCACAGACGCGTAGTGTTAGGGGAAAGTTTGGGGACAGCAGGTGGTCCTTCATCGTGAACGTGACACATGGGATGCGAATGCAGAGTCTTGGCGGGGAAATGCCTTTGCGAGAAGTCCTGTGCGCGAACGCGACAGGTGCTTCGCGAACACGAACAACACTTGACGCGTAGTTAAATAAAAGATCTAAGTTGGTAATTCATTGTTTTTATCATTTTTGAAACCTGGAGCTTAGACTAGAGAGGTTTTTGAAGATATTTTCATCCGAACTTCATTGGTAAGTGCTTTTCAACTAGTTTTGATGTATTTTCTTAATCATCCAGTGATTTTTAACTTTAAATTAAGTGATTTCTAATTTATAATTAGAAAAAATTGAGATTTAGACCTTGAATTTAGGTCGGGTTTCGAAACAAATCACATAACCGGGCTCGGGGGTGAATGAATAATTCGAATTTGGTCCGAATTTCAAATTTTGACCAAGCGAGCCCGGGGTTAACTTTTGTTGACTTTTTTAATTTAGTTAAAGATTGAACCCTTTTCACTCGTGTGTAGTTTGTAAAGCTTGTTTTGACTTATTTGAACAATATTTGGCTAATTTAATTGGTTTGGAGGATTATTCTAAAGGAAAAGCCATGATTGATCATTCATTTGGTTGCGGAAAGAGGTAAATGTCGTGGTTAACATTGACTTGAGGGAATTAGGACTTTATTGGTTTATTTGTTACTTGATTTTTGTGTGGCGACGGTGTATATGCAAGGTGATGAGTGTATATACGTAGTCATGTGTTAAGCATACGGATTGGGATGTTTATTTGTTGTCTTCAATTATTTCATGCCTTCATTTAATCCATGTTATTACGTGTTAAATGCTTAAATGTCAGTTGTCCTTAATTGTTAAATTCATGCATTTATTCGTTACATGCCTTAATTTGCTATATGTTTCCATGCATCCGTGCATTTATTTATTGATTGTCATTACTTGCTTTATGACTTTGTCTGTTATTATTTAGTCATTTTTATCCATTTTATGTCTTTAATTATGCAATTTTCTTATTGCGTTTCGTTGTGAAATACATTGTAGTTAGTTGTAGTTTGTACATTCATTATTGTATTGTTTGGGATCGGGTTGCACGCCGCAACGGATATTGATATTATTGTTTGGGATCGAGTTGCACGTTGCAACGGATATTGGTATTATTATTTAGGATCGGTTGCATGCCGTAATGGTATTTGTGTGTCTGTGTCTGTGTGTGTGTGTATATATATATATATATTGGTATTATTATTTAGGATCGGTTGCATGCCGCAATGGTATTTTTGTGTGTGTGTGTGTGTGTGTATATATATATATATATGTGTGTGTGTGTGTGTGTGTGTGTGTGTGTGTGTATTGTGGATCAGGTTGCACGTTGCAACGGAGAAGATATATTGATTGTTCTTAACCGTTGGTTCCGTGTCACTGTTGTATTGAGAAGTTGAGCATAAATGTTATTCTGGGGCCCTCTGTTATGTATTTTCTGTTCCGGTCTTCATGTAAATATGTTTTTCTTTGTTCTGCTATTATCTCGTACACGTTTATAGTGAGTGCCTTGTTATAGTCTCGTCACTACTTCGTCGAGGTTAGGCTCGACACTTACAGAGTATATTTGGTCGGTTGTAATCATACTACTCATCTGCACTTCTTGTGCAGATTCTAGTGTTGGTCCCAATGGCATCTAGCTGAGGTTTTCCTCGGATCATATCTGCATCTGGCGATTTGAGGTAGAGCTGCACGACATTCACAATCCCTGAAGTCCCCTTCCTTATCTAGATTTACTGTTTATTTTCTTTGAAATAGTTGTATTTTGTTTCAAACTGTATTTATAGTATTCTAGTCGATCATGTACTTGTGACTCTGGATTTCTTGGATTAGTATAGACCGTGTTGTTTATGGATTTATTATATGTATTTTCGGAGCATTTCAGTTGTTAATTATTAATATTCTGTCTTTAATTTGTTAAAATTAGATAATTCTTTAGAAAACATTGGCTTGCCCTAGCAAGTGGATGTTAGGCACCATCACGACACAGAAATTGGGATTTTGGGTCTTGACAACTACGAGTAATGTTAACCATGTCAATTAATAAACTAGATAAATTAATTAGCCAACTTAAGTAAAAAACTCAACAAGATTAATAGCTAACCCATAGCTCTAGAATATTTTCTCCCATTGATTTCATATCTAAGCTCGCCGACTTGTT